ACGTGGTGAAAGCAGGAGTCCTCCTCCATATGAGAAGAGGAGGAGGTCGAGGTCGAGGTCGAAGTCGAGCCCTGAGAATGGTCAAGTTGAAAGTCCTGGACCGGTAGTCGGAGAAGAAGATGCTGGAAGAGGATATGATGGTGCAGAGAGCCCGATGATGCCTGAGAGGTAAATATCTCTCTCTCTCTCTCTCTCTCTCTCTCTCTCTCTCTCTCTCTCTCTCTCTCTCTCTCTCTCTCTCTCTCTCTCGGTTACATTTGAATGGTATCAATATGATACTTAACAACTTGTTTTTGTTTTTGTGGTTTTTAACTGGAACAGCCACTCTCTATCGCCTCCAGCTGAAGAATGATTGGGGTCTCTCTATGTATTGGATTCACAAAACATTAAGATGTCTCTGTCTCTCTCTGTCGAAATAGCTTTGTCTGAAGTCAAACTATGTTATGTTTAGTGTGGTCTTGAGTGACTTTGTTCAATTGCTATTGTAAAACTTTAAATTATGCGACTCATTCAAATTTGCTCATCGTAGTATTATTGATAAAGACTTCTTTTTTACTTTGGATCACGAGAAGTCAGAGTTTACAAAAGTAGTACATTCGAATTTGGTTATCGTAGCAGCTTATGTTTAAATATTCCTCGACATCTAGATGCAACTACAGTGAGTCAGAACACTTGAATAGCATTAATAAAAGGATAAAGCGGATAAGAGTTGTTATAAGCGTGTTGTTGTAAGAGTTTTACGAGTTTTAACACTAAGACAAAATAAATAGATTAAGGTGAAAAATTGTCTTACAAATCTGCATAAGAAAACATAAAGTGACAGATTCCGTAAAGTAAAAGTAAAGTCTTACAACGATATCTATACTATATTTCTTTGTTCAAATTACTAAAAGTTGCAGGTTTATTTTAAGAAAATAAAGATTGCAGGCTTATGTAGAAAAATCTTCTTGCTCTCTTCATGCTTATCTTGATTGTTTTACCTCATGATTAATACGAGGAAAAGACCTTTGTATGGTTTTTACTTTTTAGTATTTGAGTTTGTTTGAGGAAATTCTTTTAAAAGAAATTGTACAAAGATACGAATTGGAATACAAACTCAACAACAACAACATAAATACTCTTGGTGTTCTTGAATAAGTTGTGTTTTAGGTATTTGCACACATACTAAAAAATCATTTAATTTTATTTTTTTTTCAAAAAAAAAACATGTTTTATCATCAATTCTAAAACAATACAATCAGTAAATTTTCAATATGTAGAATTCAAACAGTCAAAACAACAAAATACAATCAATTTTTGCATTAAGATGTTTAAACACCATTTGTTTGTGAACAAAATATCTCATAAAACACAACTTATTAGAGAACGAAGGGAATAGTAAATAACACACAGTTTATGGGAATTGCGGATTGCCGGTGGTTAAATATGCACCTTGTAACCAACATGGCCACACTATTTTCATATATCAACTATTATTTGTTTATATGTGATGGCTAATTAAAAACGTGGATGGAAAGGGAAAGTTAGGCAGAAACATTACTACAAGTGACAAGGTTGTAAAGAGTGAGTGGGAGAGTGGATACTTATTAGGCTAAGCTTACCAAAAAAAGGTAAAGAAAAAGAGAGTGTCTCAATTCTTGAGACATGAGAGTCTAGAACGCAACTCCCACACATTATTATCGGTCACTAACAAAATTCAAGCAGTGAACGCAATCTACTATTCTATCTTAAATGGATCTTTGTGACAGATTTGATAAAGACATCTATTCTTAGCTGGTTCTCTTCTTCCCAATCCGTTTTCATGTTGATGAAACATGCAGAGTTAATGTCACCAAACCGTCCATAATGTTTTAAAAAGATTCCACTAAAGAAAACAGCTTTGGAAGTTATTAAGTCATTGACCAAAAATGTGTATTTCTAATTTTAAACCAGTTATTAGGTATTAGTATGAGTTGATTGAACAAAATATTTGATATATTATACTTTTTAAAAATTAAAAAATTTGATGTTAGATCCTAACATAAAATAAATTACTCAAGTAAGATAATCCACGATCATTTAAGTGAAATTTAGTTGGAGATGTACCGGTAAGAAAATCATTTCCGGAAACATTTTTAATTTTTTGATAAAGGTATCCGGAACTTTTTAGTCTTGATTCATATATGAATGCTAACCATATGTCAAGTCATTACACATATTCAAACCAAGCAAAGAACACATGTACGGTTTCTAAATAAGCTAATCTAACATTACTATTTAATTAGAAGTTGGAAATCTATAAAATTATAAACCAAAAGGGGACACTGTATGTTTCACTGCTTCAAATTGAATATTATAAATCCCTCTTTGTCGACTACTTTAGATTGCATTGAGTATATAATTTATATAAATACATTTAAAATATCAGAAAAGGAATACTAAAATGAAGAGTGTGATATTAAGGGAATGTCGACCGTTGGATGATGAATCCCCCCTTGACTCCAAATCTGTTGCTTTAAACCCAACAAGTGCATCCTTCTTTTGACTTTCACATACGTCCAAACTCTTTGTTTTTCGGCTATAAAGAAAAAAAAAATTTTCTTTTGTCTCTTTTCTATATAATAAAATATATAAGGAATCTTTTTGTTATATTGATGATTATCTTAGGAAAAGAGAGGTAAAGAGTATATCACCTGTCACATATCAACAAGTTTACAACTAATAACGTTTCATTAAATATTGTCTTAGATGTAAAGATAGATAAGTGCAGAAAATGAAAAGATGGAAAAAAAGGGAGAACAAGAAATTAGTTTACGATTTTATCTCCAAGATTCCAATGAATTTAGTTGATATTCATCAACACGTCATGGTTGTACTAATATAACCCTTTTTATATCTTGACTTTAAGTTTCACTAGTAAGAAAAAGAAAAACGTTTCACTAGTTATATAAATATCCTTAGTCAATATTGATGATTCTTATTTCAGACAAATGAAGAAAATATTCTAAGGAGGTTACAAGCTCAGAGCAACACGTGTGGTTAGCCGCAAGGTTCTTTCTTTTGTACAAAACTTTTGGAGATGATATAGATTACCGAAAGGCGTTTTATATATTTGACTCAACGTACTTTATGAAATAAATAAAAACATCATAAAAAGAGCTGAAATAGTCAAAGAAAATATTTACATGTATTTTGTCAACATATGGGAAAGTGTATTTCGTAGTAAACTACAAAAGAAGACAAAATATTTGGGACAAAATGGTACGGCAGAAAAAAATGGACGACGAGTGGCTATCGCATTCGTCGACAAGATAACCACGACCACCTCCCTTTTTCATTCCAAAAATAAAAAAAGATTCTAAAGTTTATTAGAATTTCAAGCTCGATGAATATAAGTTATGATATAAGTTATCACTTTTTTATTTTTATCTTTATTACATAGATTATCACTTTTCAAAAGTGTACAAGACTTATGTTTTGAACAGACAAATACACCGTTTGTTGACATGAGATATTATTGCAAATGACAATAATCGTTTTAAACTTTTTTATACAAATTGAGATTTTTTCTAAAAACTGTTATAGTATTTTATCATATTAAATTTACGTATAATAATTTTCTTGGACATGGTTACGTACGTACTAATGACACGGCGGGTCTTGTTCCAAATATAGTAGATATCTGCGTAACCATGATTTGGACAACTAGTTCTGACCTACATATATGCTTGAAGAGTGGTGTAGATATTTACCATATATTAAATTATGCTGGTCAGGAAATTATACATATGATGTGTATCGTCGTTAATTAAGTAGGAGTGTTGAAATTTTGTTTGCTCTAATCGTACCCGAAATTATACAAAGACTGCTTAATTAGATCTATTTGTTTGACTTGGAGCTTAAAGCAAATATAATTCCACTTCTGTTTGCTAGATAAAAAAAAAAAACAAATGTTGACAATATTGCTAGTTTCCGTCTCATTTCCTGCTACATCATTATGATTTTTTGTTCTTGAAGATTTCAACTTAGCTGCTAAAAAAGGAGAAGATCAATTGATGAACTGAATCTACAATAAACATAGTCAAGCATGGAAAAAGGTTAAACTCTTTCTTCTTATGAGATTGTTGTGGTTGGATTAAATATGCTATAGATTCATGATAGAAACAGTATTCATGATAAAGATCATCAAATTCAGTTTTTTTTTTTTCCTAACCATCATGATACAATAAATAGTGTTCCTACACCACCTTCATATAGCATTAGTGTATATCTTCCTCTTCGTCTTGGCCTTAATTCTGAACCAATGGAAAAAAAAACTGCATTCAATCTTATTCATAATGCGTGTGTTGTTAGAGGAGAAATTAGCACATTTCCCTGAGCCCGTCATCATTAGTAAAGTCACAAAGCCCAATCCGATTTTAGGCCTAACATCTTCAAGAAAAAGGCAAGACTTGAAGAGAAAGGCACAATCCATGGAGAAATGTAAATAAATCTTCATGCCGACTTAAAGAATGGAAGAAAGATCAAAAACAAGAGGGAAGTTTTCCATATCGCAAAAGAGGAAGTTTTCCATCTCGCCTGAAGGAGAATATTCATCATTCGGCCGACTTATCAACACTATATATTGAAGACCCCCCATGGAGAAAGGGATCCGAAATCATCTAGAATCACTAGGCCTTCACATTAGCTTTTACTCTCTCCTCTTGTTCATCACCATAATCTCGCTAGGCTTGTTAGCGAGATTACTTCCTTGTAACTTCTTGATAATCTAAGAGTCGAATTAAGCATTCCAGTTTCCTAAACTCACATCTTTGATAGCCCGTCTTGACGAGTGCTATCTCGGATCAACAATTGGCGCCCACCGTGGGGCTGGAAACGCTTCTCGCTATTCATCTCGAAGATATCTAGATTTTCACGAACTAGCAACGATGGTGAACTCGAAAGAGAACACTCCCACCGGGAGCCCGTCTCCCTCAGAAGAAAACTTAAGCGACAGTCTACCAAGCACGATAGACAAGTCGCTACCCGCTGAAGGTAGGGACAAGCCTGCCCCTACAAGAAACCATCTGTCTCGCCACAGAGATCCGTCTCGCCGCGAAGATCACTTCGCCGCAAGATCCCCTCNATGCTTGAACTGGCATTACAGGAAGAGCGCCTAGCTGCTAGGTGAGAAGTAAGAATGAGAGAAGTTATGACTTTGATCAGAGAGAGAAAAACTAACAGCTACAATTATATAGAATATGTGGTTAAAGGGTTTCTAAGAGTTTCTAAGAGTTTTGGTGCTTTTCCTTTTTATATTAGGTTTAAGTTTTGGATTTTCCTTTTCCTTTTTATATCAGGTTTAAAGTGTAAAGGTCTCGTATGATCAATAAACTTATTCTCTAAGAGAGAGTAGGCTTAAAAGGAAACTTAGCCTAAAATCTTTTAACTCTTTCTCACGTGAACAAAGTTTATATCATTTCATAATAAGAGAGTAAGAGAGGAAAACGGTGTGTGGTTCATACCTGACCAGGGATGGTTGGGAACATGTTGGGGAACATTCCTGGAATAGTAGCATTGGTTGGCAAACTAGGGACCTGGGCTGCTTCAACAAATAAAAAACACATCAGATCGTTCGTCAGAAACTATTATTTTTCCTGACGAGCAGACGTACCAACAAGTACAAAGCTATAGATAACATTCCTAGCAACAAAACCCGCAAGTGCAGAATATCACAACATCTTATGAATACTAAAAGATGAATGTGAGGCTAGAAAACAGGCATATAGTTGCCAGACGAAGATGAAGAATACCAATGACAACCGTTGCACAGATTCCTCCTTTGTACAATTTAAAGCTAGAGAGAGGGTCGTCTCACAGTGGGGCAACTAACCCAACATAGCCTTCTTACTACAAAGATAAGACACAAAAACAAACAAACACCACCAAAGAAAAAACAAAACAAGAAAAGTTTCTCAGTTCATAAATTCCACCATGCAACCAAAAAAAAAAAAAAAAAGTAATACATCCTATGATATGAAGAGAGCAAAACAAACAAACAAACACCATTGAAATGCAGCTTACCAAAGTCACAGCGTGTAATTGATTATCATCTTTCCAAACTACGTAAAACCAAAAACAACAAGCAGTTAAAGAAATATAATCACGTTGACTAGTTGATCAAGCTTATACCTGTTGCAGCAGCAACAGCAGTAGCGGCTAACATTGCGGAAGCAGGAGGCGCCATATCAAATCCACTTATCCTCTTGCTGATATAGAGTAAACAAAGTGGTCAGAAATCAATGGATACACAAACATAAACATCCAAAACCTTGATATTCTTTAGATTAGTTCAAATATAACAGAGAATTGTGTACCTCTTAGACCGTGAGCGTGAACGTGATCTATGTTCAGACCTCTGCCTATGTTCTGATCTTGACCTACGATCAGAGCGGCTCCTTGAGCGAGAGCGAGACCTCCTTGACCGAGACCTTCTTGAACGAGAGCGAGAGCGTGACCTCCTCGAACGAGAGCGTGACCGTCTCCTGTGTCTCTCCTCTCTCTCACGATCGCGAGACCTCCTCTTGTCACGGTCTCGACTTATGCGATGATCATCATCGTCCAAATCATCTCTCCGGCGTCCCCTTCTCTCACTACGCTCTCTGCTACTACGGTCCCTATAACGGCGATCTCGTTCCCTCTCTCTATCTCTGCTCTTCTCCCGTTCACTGTCCTTCTCTAGATGCCGTTCTCTGTCTCTATCCTTGTCACTTCTTGGAGATTCCTTTGCAAGATAAGGAGACTCCTGCTGTGAAACAAATGTCAAAATCTATCTCCATAAGTACATAATGAAACTTGACATCATCGTGTAGCTAATATCATAGTCTAAAATCAGAGAACGCCTTTAAAAGCCAATTTTTTCCAGAAACAGAATTCAACGAAACGAGTGAATTTGTACCAAATTTCAACAGAGAGAAGACTAGTGGAGACGAAATTGGAACTCAGGAATCCTAAATAACACTCTTAACACAGCAAAATCGAAAAAGCCACTGAATCGAACAAAATAGCATGAGTAAGATAAAGTATACATACTCGAGATTTGGGGTTTTCGTGACGGTCCTCGCCACCAAGAGACGGATGAGGCGAGCTCTCCAGAGCTATGTAGTTCTCGTTGTCGTCGTGGTGGTTGTAGTTGTGGTTGTTGTTATCGGTAGCGACAGCGACGCCGTCGCCATTGCCTTCGTAACTCATTCCTCCGTTAGTAATCAATTGCTTCTCCGATTGAATTTTCTGATTGTATGAAGAAGGATGAAGAAAACCCTAGGGGATTCTATGAGTGAATTAATGGCGAAACCGAATTGTATGAAGTTTCTAGGAGGAAGAAGGCTGAGGGTATTATGGTAAATTGATGAGAATGGTTTCGGTGTTTCATCTGACGAAAACGGGCCTTACACCAATGGGCATAATAAGAAGTGCAAATTTACAAATCACGGTTCTCATTATGATTAATGGGCCTTTCATGGACCTGTATTGTGGTGACACCACATTTTCATTCTCAAACGAACTTAAAATTAGATAAGTTTGCTAATTAAAACGATTGCAATAACTAACGAAGTCAAAGCCATGACAAAAATCCTATTTTTGCCATTTAAAACGTTCAGAGAAACTGATTAAAATTGGAATCACAACAGAAAGATTCGTAAATATAATCCATCAACTCAAGAAATGAACATTTCAACCAATAAATCATTATGAAAAGCGTCTGATAAGTAATGAAATGAAACGTTTTGTATATTTGAAAATGGTTTTGGCATGTGTCAATTCTAATAATTACTAGTATGATTTTGTCTTTCTGCCTTTCTTGAATATTCCTTTCGAAGATCATGAGATTCCTGCTGTGAAAAAGATCTTCAAGGCTTCTCAATGTAAGTACGACGAAAAGTAGAATGCAAATGATATCTTCGAAAAGTAGAATGCAAATAATATATCTCTCCTTATTTGAAATGATCGATTGAACTTTGCATAGCCAGAGTCTCCCCCACCAATGAAAGGAAGGCTCTAGGGAAACATAATAGGGGAACATAATATGCCCAAAGCCTACCAACCTACCTTTACAGTATGTCATTAGTTAATGAGATGCATGATAGCTCCTAAAAGTATTGTCTTTATTGTGGAGAACAAAGTACTATAAAGATTTTAGGAGCCCATGCATTAACCTAGAAAAAAACATTGTCTCACTATTATTAATGGGCTTAACAATTTTAATTTAATTTTCTTGTATCCCAAAGAAAACATATAGTTTCATTGGTATTATTTGCATTCTGCGTTTCTGCTATAAATAAAATCAAATGCATAAATTAGAAAACCTATCACATTTCATCCATATAAAGTTTCTAAACTGAAAAAGTTTGTCACCACTATTTTATAGGTAATAATGAAACGTAATAACCATCCTTTCTCGATAAAGAGAGACACGTGCGAAGGTGACCCATTAGATTGCTCACCCATATTTGTTTCAACCTGTATAACATATCTTCAGCTTTGTTTAAGACAATATTTGGTTGACTAGAGCATGAGAGCCGAGAGATGCATGAATGATGCTAGATTGCTAGTGAAGAAAAAGGGTAAGAGGGGGAGGAAAAGAGAAAGATATAGACGATAGATGTGACATTGACAAATGATAGAAAGCGATGAAAATGGGGTGAAAAAATAATAACTTTTCTTTTGTTGGATTAAAAGAGGTAAAGACAACATAAAGTTGTATTATTAACAATCCTATTTTCAGTATATTGTTTTGGAATTTAATTTGGTAATAATAGAACTAAATAATGTTATAAATTAAAAAAAGCTACCGTATTGTCACAATCCTAATTCCAACAACTTGCAGACTAGAATCTTACTTCAATAAATTGGACCCAAGATAGCATATACTTATTATTATGAAAAAGAAAAAGAAAAAAAACTCGATAGTTTATTAGACGGATGTGCTAATCATAGTCACAATCCTATATCTCACTCTAAAAAACAAACAGTTGTTAGATGTAATGTGCTGATTATATTTTAAAAAGGTCATCGTGAATAGGAATGATCCTTCGTGTGGTGGGTGGGGAACGAATCAGAACCATATTAGAGAAATAACTGTTTAAAAAAATGAGATTAAATTAGGCTAAACAATATTTTAATTAGGTGATTAATCAAGGTAAGATCTTGATACTTAGCAGCGAGAAGTACGGCAAGGAGAGGGACAAATTAAAAGGCAGAAAACAGAAGAGGGCCACTCTCTTTTTTTGTCTCGATGCGTTACGTGACAACCACATCACCTCGTCTTTCAATATTTTATACATACTTTCTTCGCAATCACATGCAAATTCTTCTGTTTTCAATTCATTATTTCGTCTTTTTCCTTTCTAACAACTATTTCAATTCTTTTATAAAACTTGTTTAGACTTTTATTAAACAACCTGAAGTTGTTAAATCATTGTTTATATTCTTGTTTATATCAGAAGAAAAGACAGGAATGATCATATTTTATCTACTGTTTACCGTTTACTTTTGGAGTTTTCGTCTTATTTATAGATATGTCGACGAATAAAAACACATTATTGTAAAGAATTTCGTACGCATTTTGTGAATTTGGAGAAGAAAAAAAAAAGCACGTATATTATGGATATGACGTAAAGGGGGAGTGCATTAATTTGAAAGCATATTCTTTTGTACGTCTCTTCGAAGATATTCAATAACAAAGAGAGTTAAAGTTTTTTCTTTTCAAAGAGAAATTTTGTAAGACAATACTTTTGTTTGATTTGTTTGTTTTCTTCTTCAGAATCTAAGTCAACCTAAATTTTCAAAGTCGAATGGAAATGTCCACATTTAGAATTCATTCAAAAACAATTAATCGAATCTAGTGATTCTATATTGAAAACGATTTATTTGAATATCAAATCAAAATTTGCGTAGCTTTCTTATACGGCTCAATTATCAAAACTAGACTGGTTTTGTTTAAACTAAATTATAAATAGTATATTATTGAGATGCAATGATAAATGATGTGAATTGTGATCGATTTTTTTTTTACAATATATCAATTTCTAAATCTAGTAAAGTATTTCAATCAGATATATGAAAGTAATATTATTCGAGCTGTCGTCTTTCATGCATTTTATACGACAGCTACACCATCTAATTTTCAACATTGTTGAATTTCTTTCTATATGATGTCAAACTTTGATTGGTTTGTAGCTATTTCTCATATACGATGATGAACGAACATAACGCTGGATTTGGTTTTGTACTGTAGTATAGTTTCCCATATGCTATGATGCATGAGAGACGCTTATACTTTTTCAATTATAGTTTTGAATGAAAGTTATCATTGGATGCTTCGAACGTTGAACTATATAGAAATAGAGAAATTGATAAAGAACCTAAAGTATTCGGATGCGATGTTTGTCTTTTTGTGTTTGGTCATGTTCGGTTGAGTCCAGATATTAATTACACAAGTTCGGTGACAATTAAAGTCAGATTTGAAGAAACGGTGACAATTGAAGTCAGATTTGAAGAAACTACAAACCAAATTTAACGAATATGAATTCACTTTTATATGCGGATGCGAATCTGTAGAACTTGTTAATATAGGTTGATTTCGGAGGAAAATAGAGCTGTGAAGGGTTGAGAGACTTAGGTACTGGAGCCCATAGTGATTTTTATTACGATATTGGCAATATTGAATCGTATCTTCTAGATGTATATTGTGTGTATCATACTTTAGGTATGTTTCCATTTATCTTTATGTAAACCCTAAAATGTTAGGGCGGTTAATCTCTTGTATATATAGAGCCTCTTGGCCGATCAAATAAATCATCAGAAAATCTTCTTTACGTCTTGGTTTCTGACATGGTATCAGAGCTTACACGATCCTAAAGACTCTGTTTCTACTCTTCTTTCCTTACTTTTCTTAACCTTCTTCTTCGATCTCTCTTACTATCGTTGAAGTTTTCTTTTTGTTCCACTCATCATAACTGGAAAAGACACGCTAAGTGGTGCATCGACAGAAACTAACGATGGTCCCAAAACGCCCGGTGTTTCATCATCCTCTGCCGTGCCCAACACGAAACCTAGTGAACGAGTTGAGATCCGACGTACGATCTCGCCTTATGATCTTACCTCCAGTGATAATCCCGGCTCAGTGATATCACAACCTTTGTTGAAAGGGTGGAATTACGATGAATGTTCTACCAATATGTGTGTTTCTCTCTCGGCTCGGAAAAAGTTTGGATTCGTTGATGGTACAATTCCAAAACCGAGTGAGGAATCCGGTGATCTTGAAGATTGGTGGACTAACAACGCTCTTGTTGTTTCATGGATCAAACTAACAATTGATCCTCCGTTACGTACATCGATCTCTCATCGCGATGTTGCGTACGATTTGTGGGAAGCTATTAAGAAGCAATTCTCTGTTAAGAACGGCCAGAGAGTTCAGCGACTTAAAGTTGAATTGGTGACTTGTCGTCAACGTGGCTCAACCATTGAAGAGTACTATGGCAAGATGATGAGTCTCTGGACGTCCTTGGCAGATCATCGTCAAGCTAAAAATTGTGGTTGTCCTCTTGGTTACGATTTGGAGAAAGAACGTGAAGAGGACAGACTTCATGAATTTTTTATGGGCATTGACGAGTCTGTTTACAGTGCAGTAAAGTCCAATCTTCTCTCTAGAGATCCTCTCCCATCTCTTGACGAAGCATCTTAATTCAAGATGAAGACTCCAAGAAAGCTGCGAGAGCTTTTGATGACCGCAATGAAATAATGGCTTTTGCAGTACAGAATTCTTCTCGTTCTGTAACCATGAGTCATGAAGATCGACAACGTCTTCTCTGCTCTAGCTGTGGGCGTAATGGTCATGTAGCCGAGAACTGTTTTCGCACTCCTGGCTATCCTGATTGGTGGGGTGATCGTCCCAGAAACAAGAATACTCTTGGTCGTGGCGGTGGAAACTCAACGAGTCGTGGAACCTCAGCGTGTCGCGCTCCGTCCACCAATCAAGCACCTCCAGCTCGTGCGAATGCTGTCACTACCTCCGATCGTCTCGGTTTCAGCGGACTAAATGATGAGCAGTGGAAGTCGTTGGTTGAATTTCTTGATCAACGTAAGAAACCTCCCACTGATCGCTTAACGGTACGTTTTTTCTTTCCTCCTGGATTGTTGATACAGGAGCTACGAATCATATGACTGGTTCACTTGATTATCTTACGGAT